GGCGCCTGGCGCCAGACAGAGGGGCTGCCCTAGGGTGCCTGCCCTGGGGGAAAGCTGTGAAGGTTTTATTGCTCCACATTGTCTGGCGAGGTAGCCCACGTGGTACTGAGGAGAGAGCTTTCCTGGGGCGGGAAGGCTGGGACCGCCTGGAGAGTTACTGGGCTCTGGGCAGGACTTGGTAGTGTGAAATCCTGGGCTGCTTCCCAGGGGAGCTTCTGCAGCTGCTTTGTCTTCCTGAGGCCCCTTTCATACACATAGGCTGATTTCTATCTTACTGTCTAACACATTGACTTGCGTCCCCCAAAAAGCTATGTTGAAGTCCTAATTCCAGTACTTCAGACTGTGACCTTATTTGGAAATAAGGTTGTTGCCGATATAATTATTTAAGTTAAAATGAGGTCATGCTGGAGTAGCGTGGGCCCTTAATCCAATTCAACTGCTGTCCTTGAAGAAGTATCATGAGGACAGGGCCATGTGAAGACACAGAAATGCACAGGAAGAAAGCCATGTGACAACAGAAGCAGAGACTGCCATGAAACACCTGGAAGTCAAAGAACACCAAGAATAGCTGGACACCTCCAGAGGGTGCTGGCCCTTTAAATCCTGACCGATGGCCTCCAGAACTGTAAGAGATCACATTGCTATTTATTTAAGCCACCAAAGCTGTAGTTGTTACAACAGCCACAGGAAACTAACTCATGTCTAAGATTCTCGACTCTACACTTTGACAAAATACAACTGGAGCTACCATATTTCCTAGCAATTCCACTCCGACGTATGTACCCAGAAAAATTGAAAGCAGGTGCTCAAAAACTTCCACAGGAATGTTCACAGCAGCTCTATTGACAATGACCAAAGGGTGGAAACAATCTACATAAATGTCCATCAAGTGATGAGTGGAGAAACAAAGCGTTGTGTCTCCATACAATGGGATTTTATGCGGCTATAAAAAATAGGGCCGGCACTGTGGCATAGCCGGTAAAGCCACCGCCTGCAGGGCCGGCATCCTATATGGGCGCTAGTTTGAGACCCAGCTGCTCCACTTCCGATC